AAAGGAAGTTGCCAGCCTCATACATGTTCAGGCGCGCGTTAAAATCCCCGCTCTTTGCCCCGCTTCGAAAACAATTCATCAAAATCCCGACCCCCCGAGGCAATCTTGCTGTTAAAAGCACGTTAAAAACGCGTCACGTCCCCGTTCAGTTCCCCGCTAGCCCCGGGGGTCGGAGGGCGGGGGTTTCAATTGACTCAATACCGATGATACCAAAACGGCGCGCACCTTGTTTTTCCAGGCAGTCGGGGAAAATGTGAATTGAATGCAAGATGYACTCCTGCCGGGAGAAGAAAATGAAGTACGGTCATTTTTATTATTTCATTTTTTTGCGTCCAGTCTTGAGAGATGAAATGTTTGATTAATTTTATTATGATATAATTTATAAGATATTTAATCAAATCACTGAATAAATCATTCATGGGATATAGCGCCCAAATCCTTTTCCCTCCCTAAAATTTCGCGAAGAGTGTTTTTTGTTATAAAATCCATGACATGCTGTGTTGTTATTTTAGTTGCAGCCTTTCTTGTTGTGAATTTAGCTCCATCACCAAAACTATAGTCAAGTGGCATCCTCTTGCTCTAATCAACAACAAAAACAAATAATAATCAAAAATTTTTTAAACGTCGGTGCTAAAAAAAAGTTTGATACGATACAAACACTATAAATAACTGTCCAACATGTATACCACTAAATACTGCTAAATCATGCTAATTGCTGCGAGCGAGCGAAGCGAGCGAGCAGCAGACTATTGTAAGCGAAAAACACCAAACGGGATCCCTGTGTCGCCTTATCGTATCGAGTGAGCTACTCGATTTTGATTCATATTTGTTTGTTGCGATGTATGCTTACCCATGCAACATCTCGGTCGTTATTAGCGACTGCAATATTGAAAACTACTTAATCAGCGGTTACAGACAATGGTATATGCGTTTGTAAAATGATATTTTATAATGCACATGGTCTTCGACAACCGATCAGGCGTTGAAGTGAAGGTATGTATGAAGTTTTATCATGTTAAATACTACTTTTTTCGCTCGTGGAAGTATTCATCAAGGGAGTAGCCTTTTTAGTGATATTTCTAGAGGTAGACAATGTGCTTTTATGAGTCTTTCAGCATTATTGTATGCCAATTCGTGCGATATTTTGACATGGACAACCGAGGCTATCGATGGAATTTTAATCCGGGGAGACGCCATGTACGTAAAAGCTTTTAAAGAACGCTCTATACCCGATGCAGAGACGATCTCCTTTAACTATTTGCCAGATCAAGTCTATACTTCTACTTTAAGAACGATATCGCCTTCCATGGAGAGAAAACCAAACCATAACCAAACCATTCAGTTCTGCCGATTGTTAAACGAACCAAAGCCAAACGAGACAATTGCACACAATCGAAATATATCGCCCAACGAGGCAAGCAATCAAAATTTGCCCAACAAGGCAAACAATCAAAATATATCGCCCAACGAGGCAAGCAACAATTCAAATATATTGCCCAACGAGGCAAACAATCAAAATATATCGCCCAACGAGGCAAACAGCAATTCAAATATGTTGCCCAACGAGGTAAACAATCCAAATATATCGCCCAGCGAGGCAAACAATCACAATATATCGCCCAATGAGGCAAAAAATCAAAATATATCGCCCAACGAGGCAAACAATCAAAATATATCGCCCAACGAGGTAAAGAATCACAAACAATCGCTTTTTATGGTAAATAATACTGATATACTTGACATGGTAGAGCCGAATGAGGCAAAGTTATCTGATAATTCACATGTTATTACAACAATAAATTACAAGGATTTCATTCAAGGAACGATTTTTTCTATAGACAATCAAAATGACTCTCCATATTTTGATTTACATACAGCGTTGATGAATACTTTCACGAATGATAATTATGTATTTATAATACTAGACGGTTATGTTATGGCTTTGATTAAACATACAGACAATAGTATTTATGTATTTGATTCGCATGCACGTAATGAATATGGTATGCCTGATGACAATGGCACTGCTGTTGTTATGAAATGCTGTTATATAACTGAACTTTATCAATATTTATGTTCTCTTGCTATTGCTTTAAACAGTCAGTTTTTTGAAATCATGCCTGTTACTTTTTGTAGTCATACTATCAAACAAAATGAAATATCATGTATTATCAATTCAAATAAGATATATGATGTTGCGAAAGAAAAACGGCTTGAAAAAGTTCGATTGTACAATAAGAGAAAACGTCTAAAGGAAACACCATTAGAAAGAGAAACAAGACTGGAAAAGATGAAAGCATATCGAAAAAATAGAAAGTTAACAGAGACTGAACTTGAAAAACAAACTAGATTAGATGCACAGAATGCATATCAAAAGAAAAGAATTTCTGAAGAAACTGAATCACAAAGGCGGACTAGATTGGATGCACAAAAGGTCTATAACAAGAAGAGAATTTCAGAAGAGACTGAATCACAAAGGCTGGCTAGATTAAATGCACAAAAAACATATCAAAGGAAAAAAATTTCTATACAAACACATTCACAAAGGGAAAGTAGATTAAATGCTCAGAAAGCATATTATGAGAAGAGAACCTGTGATGACACAGATATAGAAACCCAAAGTTATAAGAAAAGAAGATTGAACAGTACTTCAAATGTAAGCGAAACTGATGCTCAAAGGCAGTATTTAAATGATTTTGGCAGTACTGAAAATGGAAAGTTGCATGAACAAAGTTGGGCAAAGAGAAATATTGCAAAGTTTTATAAATCTATTGCTTATTTTGTTTTTAAATGTAATGTGTGTCATGAGGCATGGCCTTTGAAATCTAAACCCAGAAAACCAGATGTTTATGTGTGCTCAAGATGTTTGCGTGATAAAAAATCCCCTAAAAAGTTTTCAGTTGAGAATGAAATGATACCATCACCTGTCCCGCCTCAGTTACAAGGTCTTTCACAGGTTGAAGAAATGCTTATTGCTCGTGCTCTTCCAATTATGAGAGTTTATATCAAGCCAGGGGGACAAAGGGGCTACTCTGGGCATTGTATTAATTTACCCCAAAATATAAAGGAGCTTGCATTATCACTGCCTCGATATCCTAAAGACTTATCTGTGATTATTGTTAAGGTTAAAGGCAGAAATGATAGTTATAAAGATGTTAATGTAAGAAGACAAAAAGTAACTGATGCATTAACATGGTTGATTCAAAATAATCCTCACTATTCAGATGTACAAATAGATTGTATTGCATTAAATACATTACCAGAAAATGCTGTACCTTCTGACCTGTTGACAGTAGAAACAGAAGACGAATTTGTGTCTGATAATAATGAACCTGATTTAGGGCCTCCAACTGACAATCCTTGTGAAGACAGAGTTTATAATGAGTCAAATGATATGAATAGTTTTCTACCAGTTAGTCAACAACAGGAACAGGAAGTCGAAGCTGTTAGACAACAGCTGTCAGGAGACGAGCCAATGTCATGGCCTAATGTGGAGGATCAACCTTTAAATGAATATCAAACTCCCTTTTTAGCAACTATGGCATTCCCTACTTTATTTCCTGATGGTAAGGGAGATCCCACCAATCAAGCACTGATAAGGGATGTTACTCTTTTAGATAGGGTAAGACACTTAATAAAATTTGCTGAAAGCATAAACGGTAAGTGGGTTTATCGTTTTGCTAGCCACCCTAGGTTTTCTTACTGGGCGTTCAATATGATACAAAGAAAAAGAACCCTTGAACAAACAGGGATTTTTCTTAAGCAAAACCCTAGTGAAGCACATTTAACTATTGATGAACTTCGTGAAATGGCAGAAAGTAATGATTCAGCTTTGTTCTTGTCAAAAGTGTCTAGATATGTTGCTAATATTGCAGGCACAAATGCTTATTGGCATAAAGTAAAAGAAGATTTAAAAGCTATTGTAACAAGTGTTGGAACACCAACATTCTTTTTTACTTTTTCATCAGCTGACATGCATTGGCCTGAGCTACATTGTTTATTTCATGATCGTGCTGATTTAGAATTATCCAGTCAAGATAGACGACAAAATGTTATTTGCAATCCTCATATTGTGGATTGGTTTTTCACACAGAGGCTAGAGAGCTTTGTAAAATATTGGTTGTATGATACACTTGATGCTAAATGGCACTGGTACAGGTTTGAATACCAAGGTCGTGGTAGTATCCATTGTCATGGTACTGCCAAACTTAAAAATGACCCAGGTTTGTGTGATTTAACTAAGATTGCATTGAAAGGATACTTAGCTCAAAAATTCAAAGATGAAAATGTTGTAGAAGATTCAACTCAGTTGAACCAGGATATTGTGGCTGGGAATGAAGCTGCCCAAACTGCATGTAAATATGTTGACTGGTTATTATCAACAATGAATCCAAACCCTCCAGATGAAAACATGTGGATAAGGCCAGACATGCACCCATGTCAAAGACAATATAAGGATATCCCTGAATGGGATATGGATTCTGATTATGTTGATCTTCTCAACATGGTACAACGTCACACACGTTGTAGTACAAGCTATTGCTTGAGAAAAAAAAGCAGTGAAAAAGAACTAAAATGCAGGTTTCATTTTCCATATGATCACTGCACTCAGACCAAAATAGAGTTTGAAAAAGTCCATAGTAAACACAGTAATGATGAGCAATACAGAGCAAGGATTGTTACAAAGAGAAACGATTCCCGATTAAACAATAACCAACAACTTCAGCTGCAAGGCTGGAGAGCTAACTGTGACATTCAGGTGGTTATTGACCATTATGCTTGTGTAGAATACCTTACTAAATATGCTGCAAAAGGAGAACCAAGATCACCTCTGATCAAACAGGCATTTTTGTCAATTGTTCTAAATGCTAATTCCACTAGTAATCCACATAAAGCTATTAAGAAAGTTGTCATGAAAACTCTTGGTGAAAGAGACTATGCAGCCCAAGAAACAATGCACCATTTACTCTCGCTTAAGCTCCATAGTTCATCATTCAAAGTTATTCCAATAAGCCTAAATGGCTCACGTCGTGTAAGAATCAATCAATCCGAGTGCAACTCTGAAGTTTCATGTACCAGTAACTCACTACTTGATGTTTATGCCAATCGTGAGCAATATGATACTACCCAACAAGTTCTTAATATGAATTTTATACAGTTTGCAACAACATTAAAAGTTGTTAATGGGAAATTGGAAAAATTGCCTGAAAATGTGATTCCACGTATATTTCCTACATATTCATGTAATCCAAAAGGACCAAATTTTGCAAAGTATTGTAAGTATCAACTTCTTAGGTACAAGCCTTGGAAGATAAATGAAAACAATGCTTGGGGAAGTGAAGAGCCAACTGATGAGACATTCATCAATTCATGGCATGATTTCTTGCAGACACAGTATGCACAAACAAATGTACCAGATTGGTTTGATAAACTCCAAAATGTTATTCAAAATCAAGAATCTGAAATAGAAGAGTCTCCGGAAGTAGAGCACATCAATCGCGAAGAGTGGATGATAATATCTGATAGAAATACACAGTTTGAAAATAATGGTCAATCATCAAGTGAACCATATAACTGGCAGAATGATAGAGTTCAATACACTGAACAACAAATTGCTGAAATGCCTTCCTGGATAACAAATAAGAAAGAACAATCTTCTGAATTTCAAATTGAAAATGACGAAGAAGCAGATATTAATACTTTAACTGAAATGCAAAGACTTGCCTATGATATTGTTAACTCTCATCAGTTAGATCACTCTGATGACAAGGAACCATTATGTCTTATAATAGTAGGTGTCGCTGGCACAGGCAAAAGCTACCTCATCAATGCATTGCGCAACTTATTGCAAAACAAGTGTGCAGTCACTGCTACAACAGGTAAAGCTTCATATAACATTAAAGGTGTTACCATACATTCACTTCTTAAACTACCAGTAGGTCCTAGAGGCAATAAAGACCTTTCTGGGCAAAGCTTATTAAGGCTCCAAGAGAATTTCAAAGAAATAGATTATATACTAATAGATGAGTATTCAATGCTTGGCCAAACAACACTTGGTTGGATTGATAAACGTTGTAAGCAGGCCAAATCCATTTATGATAAAGTTGATGGTGGTCTTTCACTGATCTTAATTGGTGATCCAGGTCAGCTACCTCCAGTAGCAGATAAACCACTGTACCATGCACAGCCTTCTAATTATATTGGAGAACAAGGATATTTAACTTACAAAATGTTTGATAAGGTCGTTAAACTGACAGTTAATCAAAGAGTTGAGGGTTCATCTTATGAACAACAGCAATTCAGAGATTTATTGCTAAGGCTGAGAAAGGGTGAATCAACTACTGAAGATTGGAAATTGTTGTTAACCCGACAACCTTCTAATATAGAAAATATTGAAGAATTTGATGATGCTACCAGGTTATTTTACAGTAACGAGGAAGTTACTTCTTATAATAATGAACAAGTAAATAAACTTCAACAACCATGTGCTAACATAAATGCCCGTCATTCATCTGCCCTTGCTAAAACTTTGCCATCAGATGAAATGTATGGCTTAGAACCAACAATATCTCTTGCAAAAGGAGCTAAAGTAATGTTAACAATGAATCTGTGGGCAASTGTTGGTCTTTGTAATGGAGCAACAGGCACTGTTGTTGACATAATATATGCAATTAATCATAGACCACCTGATTTACCTATAGCTGTTATAGTGAAATTTGATGACTATAGAGGTCCTTCAATTAGTGAAAATTTACCATCATGTGTACCTATCTGCCCAATCACTGCATCCTCCCAGTCAATAGAAGGAATTCATGAGAGGCAACAGCTTCCACTTAGACTTTCATATGCTCTCACAATTCATAAAAGCCAAGGGCTTACATTATCTAAAGCATGGATTAATATTGGTAAATCAGAAAAGACACCTGGTATATCATATGTAGCTATTAGTAGAGTTAAAACATTGGCATCCTTAGTTATTGAACCAATGAGCTTTGAAAGGTTGACAAGTGTCAGATCATCTACAACATTACAGTATAGGCTTAGAGAAGAGTCTAGGTTAGATGACCTTGCACAATTAACAAACAATGCTTTTCATTATCATTAGGTTTGAGTAACAAGGCAAAACAAACACCAAAATACCACACTGTAATTATAACTACTCGTATTATGCATATATGAATCCTTTTTTTTTTTCTTCTTTTCTTTGTAGTGTCACTTTCGATCATCATGGAAGGTAAGTTTTATAACTTCTTTTATTCTGCTCATTTACCACCACCCCCCACCCCCCACCCCCACTTTTTGGTATTATTTTTGTTTCAAGGTCCCATTTACCTTATGCTGTTCCATTTTTTGATAGCTCCTCTTCAACATCCCCCCTCTTCTCAGCGTAATAAATATACTTTCACTTATCATATATCATATTTAAATGCTCTAAAATATTGGTATCTTTTCATTATATTTCTATTGCAGATAGAACCAAGATAAAACTTGATGAACATAATGAAGAAGATGAGGCATTAGGTTTCTAAATTTTCCTTTCTTGCCACCTCATTCACATAGATAGCTGCAACATTTCTTATATCACTTCAGTATTCTGTTAACTTTTTATTTCTTCATTTTTAAAACCATTACTTACAAGACATACAGAAAAAAACACAATTACTCAGTATATTAATTTACACTATACGTGCATTATTATCACTATCTGCTGATGGCTTAACACTATACTGTTCATGTTCTTTAGATGACGAAATTAAAAAGCTACAAAGCGAAAGCAAAGGGATATGTGGATATATCCAAAATGTGTCTCCAATAAAACAAAACGACAAGCAGTTCAAATGGTTTGATTGTGAACTCCAGTTTGAGAAAGGCATAGTAAGAGCAGTGAGTTTCGACACAAGTAGTCAAGTGAGGACAAAATTCACCGACGCAGCCAAAGCGAAAGCACCCGTCAAATTAACAAACTTCAAAATTGGCAGTAAAAGGCCCGGAAAACATCTTGATATTATCGTCAGAAAAGAGACACGACTGGAAGAAGTTGATAATATCCCATTTCCATTCAAGCCATCCCCTACAGCGCTACAAGTCCAAATAGGAAACTTAAATATGTTTCGAGCTAGCCAGTTGCTCTCCATTACTGCCCTGGTGTCCAACATACAACCAAAGAAAGATGTAACAAAGAAGTCCAACAAGCAAATTGTTTCACTTCAAGAATGCCAATTAACAGATCCTACAGGAAATATAAAGCTAGTGCTGTGGGAAGAGTTTGTGGATAGATGTGAGAGTGGAAAGACCTACATCTTTCATAACCTTCAACTAAAAACAGACTACTCCCAGAAATCACTCAGTACATCACTACATGGTTGTACAATAACGGAGACAACACCATTTCCTGACTTGATTGCACCACAAGAATTACCGAGCACAACTACGTCAAACCAAGTGCAAGTATACGGTGTTTCGCAAATAACTTCTTACACCGCTTGTAGTACTTGCTTGAAAAAAGTTCAAGAACATCCAACAAATAACAGCCTTGTTAAGTGCACAACATGCAGGCTAACACTAAACAAAAAAAGATGTCTTACCCAGTACTGTGCTAAACTGGTGTTTGAATGCATCGACAATGAGAACAAAAAACTATCTCTCACATGTTTTCATGATACATTAGATAAGATGTTGGAAAAATATAATATTCAAGAGAATGCACACGAGAGCTTACAAAGTATTACTATTGACAAATTAGAAGAAGCTCTCTCAAGCATTGACGCTATAAATATATCCTACAATTTTACAAATTCCAAAGTATTGTCCATTCAAAATTAAGTACTTGCATCATGTACTTGCATGTTTCTTTTCGACAAACTTTTCTTTTGTAGTTTACATTATTTGACATATAGGCAACCAAGTGTTCACATTGATTTTACATATCAACTATATTTTGTATTATCACTTATAGTTTTCATTGTATAATTATATTTGAAATTTATACTTAAATGTTTATATTAAATGATAAAAAGCTTTAGAACTAATTTTTAATTGCTCAATATCATCAGTTCCAATTTAAAATAGAAAAAAAACATGATATTTTTGATACATAGATTAATTAATTCTTAGGATAGATAATATAAATGATTATTTAGATAGATAATGTAAGTGATTTTTAGGATACTTAAAGAATTATGATTATTTGGACAGATATTATAAATGATTATTACGACAGATATTGTAAATGATTCTTAAGATGTATAATCTTAATTGTTCTTGAGTTTTTTTCATATCATTCAAATAAATGTGGAGACATTGTAACTATCGTCACTTGTTTACATATAATTAAGAAAACCTTAATAGTCCATCTGCAGTTAAGATCGCAGCACGTCACTTCCGAAAGAAACACCCAGTTCTATTGTTTTCTATTGTTAAATTAACACTATTTTGTAGTAAATAGTGGAAAGTGTTGCACACATTTAATGTTTGTACTCTAAATAATGAGAATCTAACGTGAAAAAAAAAGAGTTTGATTGGATGAGAATATCCAATGTCGAGCCAACAGTCTTCACTGCTAATTGTCAGCGGTCTAACGCATTAACTTCCGCTGGATGGCAAAAGTGCGGGCTCAGAGGCCAGGCTGCATATTTATTACCTAGCACTTCGCTATTGCATCTGGCTTTTCTTAGTTGTTTTATTTTTAATTTTGAAGTTTTAACTTACATACTCAGAAGTACATATGTACTTCTGACATACTTTGAAACTCCAAAATGGAAATAACGTTCTTAAATTTTGTTTCTACTTTGAGGTAAGATAACAACAATGAGGTTTGATGAAATCTTGGAAAGAATTAAACTTTTCATTGATAGATTGAGTTGTGCCCGGTTGTGGAACTGGATAGTCTCACCATTTGTAAGTCGTCTTCTAATCTAGCTTATTTTCTTTCAAACATTTCTCAATAGCACATGATAGGAAACAAGTCAAAGCACGAGCCAGAAAACTACTGAATTTTATACAACAAACATTATAATGGAAGGAGCTTGATGAAATTTGCCAGAAGTGACTTGTCTGAAAACAGTTGAACATGATATCCAGGGTTAGGCAGTACAGAGAACAAGAACACTAAATTTATCCCCTTCACAAGTAAGATACGATACTAAAATAAAAAAAATTATTAGGAAAGCGCAACGGGTTCCTGAGAGAATAATCGATATCTGCCATAATTTGCCATAATTACTGCAAGTGAGGTTATATTCAGAAACTGACATAACTTTCTTAAATAGCAATCTTTCTTATGAGAAATCTCGCTATACAGAATTATCGTGAATTTAGTCAGCTTGTTCAGTTATCTTTACTGAGTGTAGTTATTTCTACACCGCCTT